GGTGGAAGGATCTCTTGAACCCAGCAGTTCGGGACTAGCCTGAGCAACATGGGGAGACCCCATTTCTACAGAAAATAAGCCAGAGATGGTGACGCATGCCTGTAGTCCCAGTTACTTGGGAGGCTGAGGTGGGAGAATCACCTGAGCCTAGGAAGTGGAGGCTTCAGTTAGCAGTGATGGCACCACTACACACCAGTCTGGGTGACAGAGTGAGACCCTGTCTCAGAAAAAAATAAAATTAAAAAAAGATGCTAAGGGCACGCCGAATGAAGGCAGAGGATGTAGTGCAGTTATACAGTATCATCATTTTTGAAGAATGTCTATTTTTAAAATTTTAATTAATTTTTTTTTTTGAAACAGAGTCTGTCTCTGTCACCAGGCTGGAGTGCAGTGGTGCGATCCTGGCTCACTGCAATCTTTGCCTCCCAGGTTCAAGCAATTCCCCTGCCTCAGCCTCCTCAGCCTCCAGAGTAGATGGGACTACAGGCACACTCCACCATGCCTACTAATGTTTTGTATTTTAGTAGAGACGGGATTTCACCATGTTGGCCAGGATGGTCTCAATCTCCTGACCTCGTGATCTGCCCGCCTCCGCCTCTCAAAGTGCTGGGATTACAGGTGTGAGCCACTGCGCCCGGCCAATACAATTTTTTTGAGTCAGGGTATTGCTCTGCCACCCAGGCTGGAATGCAATGGCCTGCTCATGGCTCACTGTTAACCTCAAACTCCTAGGCAAGTGATCCTCCTGCCTCACTCAGCCTCCCAAGTAGCTGGGACTACAGGTGCATACTACAATGCCTGGCTAACTTTTTCTTTTTTTTCTGTAGAAATAGGGTGTCATATGTTGCCTAGGCTGGTCTTGAACTCCTGGGCTGTAGCAACCCCCATGACTTGGCCTCCCAAAGTGCTTGATTACAGGTGTGAGCCACTGCACACGGCCTACAGCCATTGTTTCTAAGATTTACTCCTGTGATTAGTCTCTACTGTTTTTTCCACACACCTAAGGGTTTACAACTGGCAGGGCAGATTATCAAAGCTTTCATGCTCTTAAATTGGCCTATATCCTCTTTCTGGGAAACTAATTACCACACTGTTTTTAATATAATGCATTTTCGGGTTTTCTCTGTCATTTAAGAGACATGTGGGTATATAGGGAGAACTTCTATTATGGGTTGAGCTCTGGACAATACTTGGCACAGAATAGATACTAAAGGAACACTGGCTGATAAAGAGAGTATAACCTAACTGTATATTGTAAGGATTAGACTGCCACCACCCTAAACCAGAGTTAATCTCTGCATCACTAATGGTGGGACACCCAGATATGCTGTGACTCCTAATATGATGCAATATAATATACACATTACATAGGATTAATTCTAGCCATAAATATTTAACTTATATTCATCTAACTGAAGCTCATAGAACCAACTTCCAGTTTCCAAGAAACACAGCTAAATGATGCCATAAGGAAGCAATGAGACTGATCCAAAAGGTAGAATATTTTTCTAGACAACTTCCCCATTGACAAGTCAGAATCATGAAAAAGAAACTGTTTTGAAGTAAAAGAGATTTCATAGAGATAACCTGATGTAGTGAGTAATCACAGCTCGGATCCAGGTTTATTAAAGAACAGTTTGGAAGACTGGGGGAGTCTGAATACAGGTTGCGTATTAGATAATATGAATTATTATTATTAACTTTAAATGTGCTGTTATTTTGCCTGTTATTTTAAAAAGATGCATAGTCAAGTAAAAAAATACATAAAAATTTAAAAAGAAATATATACATACAATAAAAAATAAATAAGATATATGAAATTTGAAAAAGAAATATGAATGAATGAATGAAAGAGAAAAGTCTGGGCTGGTTTGGTAGTCAACAGCATGCATGGTAATTAAAACCATGAAAACAGATGAGATAAGGTCACCTAGGCAAGTACATAAGGGAAGACAAAGAGATATGAATCAGGCAGATAATATTTCAGGCTAGATGTAGGAGTAAGAACCATTAAATTGAAAAAGAGCAACTGGAGACATAGGAGGACCATGAGGAGAATGGCATTCCAGAAGCCAATGGAGATATTTCAAGATGGATAAGGCAATTAATAATATCAGATTCGAAAGAGCTCAAGCTGGATAAAGACTGAAGAGAGGCTAGCAAATAACAAATAGAAGGTCAGTGATGACCTGATTGAGAGGATTTTCAGTAGAGTGACTGGAGCAGAAGTCAGAGGAATGAACTGCTGTTGAAGAAGTGGATTCATCACTCCTCTTTCAAAGAAGTTTGGAGTTTCTCAGAAAGATGAGAACCCGTACAAATAATACACATTGTTCCGATAATGAAATTCCTAGTGATTAATGCTAACATGTTGTGGGAATCAGGAGACCAGAGAGATCACTGGGTGAACCAGGAGGATTTTATTTAGGTGGCCACCAACTCAGCAGATGAACAGCCAAAGTCCAGCTGGAGCTATAATAACGTTATCCGCAAAGCCAGGCAAAGGCCCCCCAAAAATGGGTTCCAAAAGTACGAGAAAAACAAGTTCTTTCAGTGTCCCCCTAAAATTCTCTCCCCATCCCATCATTCTTTGTTCTGCTCTCATAACTAGTTTTGTAACTAGTTTTGCAAGTTTGCAAAGGTTTTATAAGTTCTTGTTTTTCTCTCTGTAACATGGCAGTCACAAAACATGCCTAAATTGCAAAAATCTGTCACAGTAAAATTAACTGCCTTTCTTTTGCTTCTGCAAGCCTGGTTTCCCTGCCCTGCAAATTTCGCACCACTGGCTAGCCACCCCACTTCAGTAGCATAAATAAAAGTCAAGCCCTGTCTTTGTTCATTGCTCAGCCTTTAGATGTTCATCTGCTAAGCTGGTGGCCACCTATATAAAATCCTCCTGTTTCACCCAGTGGTCTCTCCAGTCTCCTAATTCCCACAGCAAACATGCAGTAACAGGTAAGTGAAAGAAGGGACAGAAGGTGATAACAGAGTTATAAAATAAAGGATTCCTCATGTAATGCCCACATAAAATAAATATCTGCTATCGTATTTTTAAGAGTCTGCAAATTCAGTAGAACTATAGTTTGGTTTTTATACTTGTCTCTTAAAGAAAGGTGATACTGCAATTTATAAATAGATGTTTCACTGTGGAAATAGATTTGTTCCCTTAAAAATTGAATATAAGATACATTTTTTGGAAATCAAATAATTAAGTAAATTAGGAAAAGTATTTCTTCAAAGAAGTGATGGGACCCTTAGGCTGCAATCTGATTGCATTCAAATTATGTCTTTATAAATATTAGTAATAAATGTCTTATTTTGATTTTACAACATATAACCCTTGGTTCCTACTCTAATCCTATGAGATATGCAGGCTGAGTATTATTAGCCCCATCTGACCTCAGACCATTCTGTCTGCTACAGGGGTATTTGTCTTGGAAAAAGGAGTGATTTTCCCTTTAGAGGGATACTCTGTGTTCACACAAGTTCTCAAAGAGCTAATAGTCACATAGCTCTGAAGCTGTTTAGTTTTCTTTATTAATACATTATTCAAACTAGTATAAATTTTAAAAACAAGCTATCTCACAATATGCTGAACTGTAACATTCCAAAACAATGATAGTCAAAATTTAAGGTCAAAATGTGGTTTATGAGCTACGCTATAGTAAATTTACAGACAAAATGGAGATGGCTTAATAATAAACCAATAATAAACTAATAAAAATACTAGTTTCACAACAATGTAAATATACTTAACATTACTGAAATGTATAATTAAAAATGATTAAGACAGTAAAGTTTATGTTATATGTTTTTTACCACAATTAAAAATAAAACCAACACCAACATTAGCTTTGTTAGAAAAATATTAAAAGGATTAAAAGGATAGTTTACTGTTAATATTTCTCACAACAGGCATTTCTTGCTTATTCACAATAAATATTCGTTCCACTATTAAGGCATGGAGATTATTTTTCTATAGTTCTGAATTAAAATCTATAGGTATTTTATAGAAATAACATTGGAAGAAGATACAAATATGCTGCAATATATAACTGCATTCTACCCCTAAGCATACATTTTCCAAATTCTCTATAATGATGACATAATTTTCACATTCAGAAAAAAGATTTTTTAAAATTGAGATTGATATTAAATGTAATAACTGTGGCAATTAAATAAGATTTTAGGCCTGGATTTTACATCTCAGAATTCACTCAATGTATACCAGCTTATTTACTTCACCTCTGTATTTCATGCTTCTGTGTTAGGACAAAGGCCAGTCTGTGGATGTGCGAACATTTTTTTTTTCTTTCTTTTGAGACAGAGTCTTATTCTGTTGCTCAGGCTGGAAAGCAGTAAGAGTATGACTCACAGCATCCTCAAACTCCTGGGCTCAAGCAATCCTCCCACCTCAATCTTCTGAGTAACTAGGACTACAGGGCTGTGCCACCATGCCTGGCTAATTATTTTTAGTAGCGATGAGGTCTCGCTATGTTGCCCAGGCTGGTCTTGGAACTCCTGAGCTCAAGCGCTCCTCCACCTCAGCCTCCCAAAGTACTGGGATTATAGGCATGAGCCCCTGTGCCCAGGAGTAAAATTTTTTTTTTTTTTTTAATAAGTAGAGGCAGTCCAAGAGAGCATACTAAAGTCTTAGCTACCCTGTATCCGAAGACTCTTTGAAAAGAAAAGTGGAATGGTTTGGGGCCCTACAAAGGTTTCGAGAAATTAGTAGAAATATGTTGAGATACGCACAGTTGCAAAGACCCTTTGCTACACCACCTGATAGCACAGAACAACAATAACAAAAAATGCTACTGCGGAATCTAGAATTCACTAGGAGAGACATTCTAGTGACTTATACAATCCAAAATAAATCTAAAATTATATACAGCCACAGGTAAACAGTGCATATAAATGACGACACTGAGATTGCATTCAGGAGGTTTAAAGACATTTTAAAAACTTTTGTTAACTATATTCGAAAGCAGTCTTCTCACCTGCGTGGCCTAGTCCTTGGGGACATCATTTCATTCCCAAGTATGTGGTACCGCCGTGCTTCATGCAACAACTGATAACACTCAGGAGAATTCTGGATCAATTGGTCCACTTCAACTGTTTGAACAAAGTAGTTGGGATGCAATAGAGGGAGTCTCACATGTGTCAGGAGCTCATGTAACAGTGGTCTTCTCAGATCAACGGCACGATAGACCCAACGCATGACGGCTTCAAAAACCATCTCCTCTTTACCAATAACAAGTTCATCGCTACAAATATAATCAATAAGTTCATCTTTGTCAAGCTCAAGAAATTCTTCATGCTGGGATACATCCTCAAAAGTCTGTAATGCAAAATTTTTGCACTTTGTGAAGAGTGTTTTGAGTGAATGGGTATCAGCAAAGCGCTGGATTCCTAAGCAATTACAAGGATCAAGTTGCTCCTCCAAGAACTTGGCACATGCATCACGGAGAACACTAATCTGAAAGAGGCTTGATGTCTCAAAGAGATATTGTACATTCTCTGTAGTGATCTTCACCTTTCCAGTATAAACATACTGCAAAAAACATTCCATAGCTTCAGCTAAAATACCATTGATCTCAACCAACATTTCTCGGCTTTCCCTGTGGTCATTACAAAACATAGCTCTGAAGTAGCTGCTACAGGCTGAGAGCACAGCTCTATGGCAAGGAAATTCTTTTCCTTCCACACAAATGATAACATCTGTGAATAAGCGGCTATCTCGAAATTCATTAAATATCTGGAGTATGTTTTCAGCATGGGATGATCCTGAAGAGAAGTCAAAAAACTCATGACCTGTCAGAGATTTGGGGTCCATTTCAAAAACTTTACGCTTAGTTGCTGGGGAATCACGCACCCCAAGATCCTCTCTGTTTAGTCTGCGTCCCAATATTAGTACCATTGTTACATCAGTTGACTATATAATTGTTGAGAAATGACTGTTAGGGATCTTCTTTATGTGGCTAAAAGTAAAAAAAGGAAAACATTTCAATATGCAAAAAATTCAGTATTCAAATTACATAATTTCATTTTAATATAAAAACTACAACAAAATCACATAATATATTTCATATAGGATACACAGCACTACCTCATGTTAATAAAAACCGATAAACAAAAATTTGCATTTGGACAATTAGAACATTAGGGGTAATTTGCAATAATACTCCTTAAGCTCCCCTTTTCTAGCTGAAAGGATACTATGTACTTTGTGAGTTACTAATCTTCTGTTTCCTCCCCATTTACAGAGCTGAGTTTCATACTATTGACTGTAGAGTTAAGTCAGAATGGTGTAAGACAGAATTTGACTACAGTTAGAATTCTAACATAGTTATCTTTCTTTTTAAAAATCTTTTTTGAGACAGGGTCTCACTCTGTCACCAAGTTTGGAGTAAAGTGACACGATCATAGCTCACTGTAACCTCAAACTCCTAGGCTCAAGCGATCTTCCTGCCTCAACCTTCTGAGTAGCTGTGACGATGTGTGCGTACTACCATGCCTTGCTAATTTTTTTACTTTTTGTAGAGATGGGATCTTGAACTCCTGGCCTCAAGCGATCATCTCACCTCAGCCTCTCAAAGTATTGGGATGACAGGCATGAGCTACAATGCCTAGTGAAATAATTATTATCTTAATATAGAATTCCTAGAGAGGAATTTAGCTATATCTATTAATAGCCTTTAAAAATATGTATATTGTTTGATCAGCAAGTCCTTTTTTTTTTTTTTTTAAAGTACTCTCTCCTAAGGAAATAATCAGAATTATGTGGAAAGATTTATCTATACAGATGTCCAATGCTATATTGATAGAAAATACTCAAAATAACCTAAATGCCCTATAAGAGGGGATTGGTTAAACCACAGTACATCTTCTGGCTAGAACAAAGTCTATGCAGCCATTAAAAATTATATAGACTAACGACACGGGGAAGTAGTAACCACACAGTAAGTGAAAAAGTAGATCACAAAACATGCCAACAGAAAAAATAATGTATCTGTGAATCTAGGGATAGGATGTACATATGCCAAAATGTTTTATTTATATTCTCTATTTTCCACCAAAATGTCTATTATAAAATGTAATACTCATTTAAAAAATTTTCATGCATGTTACTAGGTCTTGTTCCCTTTCACTAATAAGAAACATCCCCAAAATCCCTCAGAAATGACTATCAGTAAGTAACTGATGGACTGAGGCACTTGGCTATAGCCATCAATTCTCTCTCTCTCTCTGTCTTTTTTTGGAAACAGGGTCTCATTCTGTCACCCAGGCTGGAGTACAACAGCGTGATCTTGACTCACTGCAATCTCCACCTCCTGGGTTCAAGCGATTCTCCTGCCTCAGCCTCCCGAGTAGCTGGGACTACAGGCACGTATCCAACACACCTGGCTAATTTTTGTATTTTTGGCAGAGAAGCGGTTTTGCCATGTTGCTCAGGCTGGTCTTGAACTCCTGGCCTCAAGGGATCTGCCCACCTTGGCCTCCCAAAGTGCTGGGATTATAGGCATGAGCTACAGTGCCCAGCCGAATTCTCTTTAATATTAATTTTAAGGAGATTCTTCTACTCTCTTTCCACATCTTCAGAAGTTGATACATGATTCAAAGTGTATTAGTAATTGGTTTAAGACCAAAGAGTATCTCATCTATTGCCATACTCTCAGAATTTCATATATGTCCCTTGTAACGTTCCCAACTTCTTGAAATATTTCAAGTCAGACATTCAGGCCTAAATATAGCAGCAAAAAGAAGGCAGCTAAAGGATGTCACAGATAATACAATCTAAAAAATGAGATGCCATCCTACATTCCCAAGCCACAAATAAAACTGAGACTTGAAAGTTAACAATATTAAGGCTGCATTTTGAGTACCCTGTCATATATTAAATTGTACCCCACTTTTTAAGTGACACAAAGGGAAATAAAATATGCAATATCAAAATCAAGAAGCAACTCATTCTCTTATATATGGTATTCTCTTCTTTTTCATGTTCTTATTTATCTCCATCCTCTCTTCTCACTGTAATGCCCCAGATATCCTACTTCCAATATTCACTAAATACTTGGAATTTTCATGAATTATCTCACTGAATTTACTTAATATTGCAGCTTTTAACATCATCATCATCAACAAATATTTATTATATGCCCACTATTGTCAAGATACTGTATTAGGCCTAGGGTTTACAGAGATGTAAGATATTGCTATTGGAGTTTTTTGTTTTTGTTTGAGACAGGATCTCCTGGTGTTGCCCAGGCTGGAGTATAGTGCCATGACCTCGGCTCACCGCCTTCCAGGTTCAAGCGATTCTCGTGCCTCAGCCTCTGGAGTAACTGGGATTACAGGCACATGCCACCATGCCTGGCTAATTTTTGTATTTTTTTAGTAGGGACAGGTTTTGCCATGTTGGCTAGGCTGGTCTCGAACTCCTGAGCTCGAGCCATTCTCCCGCCTTGGGCTCCGAAAGTGCTGGGATTACAGGCGTGAGCCACTGCACTCAGCCTGTTTTGTTTTGAGACGGAGTCTCACTCTGTTGCCAGGCTGGAGTGCAGTGCTGCCATCTTGGCTCACTGCAACCTCCACCTCCCAGGCTCAAGCGATTCTCCTGCTTCAGCCTCCCAAGTAGCTGGGACTACAGGCGCGCACCAGCACACCTGGATAATTGTTTATATATTTAGTAGAGACGGGGTTTCACCATGTTGACCAGGATGGTATCAATCTCCTGACCTCGTGATCCACCCACCTCAGCCTCCCAAAGTGCTGGGATTACAGGCATGATCCTTTTTATTTTTAATTTTTTAATTTTTTTGAGCTGGAGTCTCGCTCTGTCCCCAGGCTGGAGTGCAACTCCAGTGCAAATCTCAGCTCACTGCAACTTCCACCTCCCAGGTTCAAGCGATTCTCCTGCCTTAGCCTCCTTAGTAACTGGGTCTACAGGCATGCACCACCACGCCCAGCTAATTTTTGTATTCTTAGAGATGGGGTTTCACCATGTTGGGCAGGATGGTCTCAATATGACCTCGTGATCCACCTGCCTCGGCCTACCAAAGTGCTAGGATTACAGGCATGAGCCACCGTGCCAGGCTTTTTTTTTTTTTTTTTTAATAGAGTTGCAACAAAACATATTCAAACAAGATAAATAATAACAAAGTAGCACAGACAATATGTCCCATCGGTACAGACAGCCTAGTTCCTCCTTAAACTTCTATTACATTTAAAAAACATCTCTTCTTACCAATTAGCCCTTCAACTTCCTGAAGTCTAGGTGATAGGATTTTCTCTGGGCAGATATATGCCAGGTTATTCTGACCATTCGGGGAAAAATACATGGCTATAACAACATCTGAAGGACACCTAAATGATTGCATGCTACACAGGATCTTTTCTGTTTCTCTGTCTATCCCCCAATTGTGCAGGTAAAGTCAGAAAAAATCCAAGCAATTTTATCAGTCAAATGGAATAAAGACTAAAGTGAAATAAATACTATTTTCATTTGAAATCACTAGGGTGGAGAGTCAGAGGCAGTATGTTGATATCTTTTTTTTTGTTTGTTTCAGATGCAGTCTTGTTCTGTCGCCCAGGCTGGAGTGCAGTGGCACAATCTTGGCTCACTGCAAGCTGCACCTCCCAGGTTCAAGCGATTTTTCTGCCTCAGCCTCCTGATTAGATGGGACTACAGGCACATGCCACCATGCCCATTTTTGTATTTTTGGAAGATTTTTGTATTTTTGGAAGAGAGGGGTTTCACTATGTTGGCCAGGCTGGTCTTGAACTCCTGACCTCAAGTGATCCACCTGCCTTGGCCTCCCAAAGTGCTGGGATTACAGGCGTGAGCCACCACGCCTGGCCACCCTCATTTCTAAGTTTTAAAAAAATAAAAATAAAAAATAAATTTCAAATGTACAAATATACATGCATTTTCTAAATACACAACAAAGCTTTGTGATGTAATATAATATTTACGGCAATGGAAGTTCATGGAGAAGGCCTATTTAAATGAACACATATAAAAATAAAGATAAACACAAGACAATGCTTACTAATGGCTGGTTTTGGAGTAAATGTCAACAAAGTAACTCCCACAAATTTAGTTAGTAAAATTAGTTTCTCTTAAATTTGAGGAAATATTTTCCTCTACATGTATGTTATGGTCCAAACAATCTAGATTTTTAACTTCAATCCAATTATGTTTTGCAGATTTTAGGTAACAGACTTGCCTGAGAACAAATAAAAGCTCTATTTAATTAATTTTAATACCTAAATGAATAAAAATGTATGAGTTTAAAATATTTTATTAGTTTTAAAATTTATTATCACTACTAAAAAAAGGGGATTTCTTAACATCTCTTTTAAGATTTTTCTGATTACTCAGAGAGTATTCATGTTTGCCTCATTACAGGTCATCCAACTTGCATTATAGTTGCCCATATATTTGTGTGCATGTCTGGATGCATGTGCACACACACAGCTTAACATTTAAAACTCCATTTATAAAGAATAGAATGACTTCCAAATTCCAGGCTCTCACACATGAGCAGTAGCATATCTATCAAACATGCTTTTAATTTGAAGTTATCTCAATAACTGTTTTATAAACAGAAATGTATCCCCCTTATCAAGAGAGACCACTACTGTGTCTGAATGTCAATTTTTTGTTGTTGTTGAAACTTCAAAAAGTTCAATGTATGTAATATCACAAGTAATTCAAAAAGGGAACATTTCAACTATGATAAACATAAACTGTGATGACATGGAATATAACTTATATTTTAATCTTAATGCCTTATTAATCTAGACTCAAATTATGGTTGAATTAGCTACAAGTCAGGTACCCAAATCAAGAACCTATTATTCATTCCAGCTTATCTAGTTTAACTTCTTACTGCATTTCAGGTTCAAAAAATTCACACAAGCGATTGTGACTTTAACTAGAGATACAATTATTGGTATTAACAACAATGGAAAT